GAGAGAGAGAGAGAGAGAGAGAGAGAGAGAGAGAGAGAGAGAGAGAGAGAGAGAGAGATGAGGTGGCAAAGGGTGCAGAGCATGAGACAATGATGCACACCTTCGTGTGCATGCCAGTTTTCCAGCTTGGAAGAGAAAAAGGAAAAGAGAAGGAAAAAGAAAGAAGGTCAAGGCCGGTTGCCCTCCACACCGCTTCCTTTGTTTTGTTAATATTTTTGTTTTTCAATCAAAGTGCTGGCACAATTATTGACTTGGGACACATGGATGGTGGGCGGGTGCGTATGGGTGTCTATGGCAGGTTGTTGAGCCTTTGGTTAGCAAACAATGGTTTCTGAAGATGGAGCCCCTTGCAAAGCCAGCAATAGAGGCAGTGCGGAAGGGGGACATACGTATCATTCCAGACCGCTTTGAGAAGGTATCTGGCAATGCGACAAACACTGATACCCACTAACGTTTCCACCCGAATAGAACTCACTTTCACTATCGCTGTACGACGTGTACTTAGACCAAAAGTTGCCCCAAGTACAGCTATAATTACCGGCCATCTATTTGGGGGAAGAACGTAGGTCTACTCCTTATGGTGGCCTCTAATCACACTGTGATCTTGTCTCACACTTGTCACACTTGGTCACACTTGTCACATTTGTCCGGTTAGGCTTGTCAGCCTTGTCATGCTTGTCACAGTTCCTGTTCTTAATGCACACCTGTCACACTTTGTCACACTTCATCACACTTTGTCGCACTTTGTCACCCTTCATCACACTTGTCACACTTCGTCACACTTGTCCCACTTGTCATATTCGTCCTACTTGTCACACTTGTCATATTCGTCATACTTGTCACACTTGTCGCACTTGTCATATCTGTTACACTCAGCATACTTGGCACGCTTGTCACACTTGTCAGCCTTGGCATGCTTGTCACAGTTCCTCTACTTAACCCCACACTTGTCACACTCGTCACACGTCACTCACACTTGTCATACTTGACACACTGGTCACAGTTGTCAGCCTTGTCATGCTTGTCACACTTGGCGGGACTTCTGAACTATCAGCCTTGACACACTGTTCACAATTGGCGGGACTTTTGAACTGTGGCAACAACACTTACTCATTGCATGCTTTCTCATGGACATTCCCCACCGACCTTTGCTAAGGGGTGGACCTGCTACATGCGCTCCCGCCAATGCTGTTCTGTGGTTAAGGAAGTATATATTAAAGCAATCACACTAAGAGTATAAATGAAAGGAGTGAAATAAAGAGTAGCTTCTGGAAACATTGGTATTCAAAATCTAAAAAAAACATAAGTTCCGAATTTTAAGAGATTCTGCTGCAGTTTTGGCTTTCTGAGCATTGTTTAATTTGGCAACGAAGGTGTAATGATGAGAACAATGGGAAATGGAGAGTCTGTTCGGAAGCGAGACCGAAAGACGTCGGGGGGGGGCGGATTGGGCCAGATTTCGAAAGAAAGAACATGAGTGTCTGAGAGACTATGATGTTCTTTGCACTGGAGATGAAGCAGAGGAAGCTGTAGCAGCAAAAGCGACAGTAAGGGGAATTGCAGCTATGGAAACTGCTGCTTCTTTTTTTTCAAACATGCTAACAATCAGGAAGGTAGTCATATGTTCCGAGAGAGACAAAGTGCGGGATTTTTTTCAACCAATGGGGTTTGTGAATTTGAAGGGTGGTATATGGATTTCCCGAAGGTCAAATATGGTCTGATTCATCCAGAATAGGTGTCATTACTCAGATAAAAACAGCTTCGCTGGTTGTCGACAAAGACACATGGTCAACTTCAGATTGCAACAGCGTATTGTCGACGGCTGTGCGCCGCATTGTTGGTTGTCTGGGGATCAGCGGCCTGTTTCTTTGTCTGCCTTGATTCTCTCTGTCCCTGCTCCACAGGTTATTGCGGTTTCTTTGTTCCAAACGGCAATATCTGCTCCTATGCCTCCCTCAGACAGTCCAGCTGCTTGCAGGCAGACACGGGACCATGTTTTATGCCCTTCAGTGTTACATATTCACAAGTCACCTGTCAACAGGATGTGGTCCCCTCCCAGGGTACACTCCTGATTCCAGCGAAAGTCTCTGCTCAGGATGCAGCCTCAAATGTCGAGGGATTGGAACATGATTTGCCCGGATTGCAGTTAACCCCACAAAGCGTAGACCACAAGGGGGATCTGCAAATGGCTGACCAGCATCGTTTGGATGAATTGCAAAATTTTGCCCCACCACGCGCATGGGTGATCTGCAAATGACTGACCAGCAAACAGCGCAAGACATTTTTGGCTTGCAACACCATCTGGGTGATCTGGAAGTTGTTCGCCAGCATCCGACACACCGTCCTAAGATCCCTGCCAATCTCTGTGGTCTGACTGCAATTAATATGTGTCTTTACATTCTCCACCACCCATTTTATACACCGTCAGACTTCCTGGCAATTGCCCTTCAGTTTGATCCTGATCTTCCCGCCTACAGCCAGAGGATTGTAATTGTACCCGCGAAAGAGGCTTTACCATTGCTGTCCTACAAGTAGCAATAAGGGACCGCCAACTTGAACTATGCCATGCTCAAGCAGGTGAGTGGTTTAATCCTCCATCCCACATCTGTGTCTGCATTGTGCACGGACCTGGCGATTCCATGGCCATTGTACATGCCTCTGACCTCTGGGCGGTGTGGGACAACGGCATCATCGTCCATGTCATGACTGATGTTACGAATTTCTTCAACAACGATGTTGTTTTCTTGCCACACCAAACCGTCCGCAATCTCCTTTATGTGGAATACCATTCCTCTGGCCCCGTGCTGTAGCAGGATGATGTACCAACACTCTGTGACCTTCTCCTTTGCACAACTACAGGCACTGTTAGACTTGGTTGTAACCGCCATCGCCTCTTTGACAATCACTACAATGACATGGTTTCTGCATCCATGTGTCTAGAGGACTGTCCCTCTGTTCCTGACTGTAGGCACCCTCCACATCCGGACAGTATATGTCCATTTTGCAGCCATGGGCGTTATACTGAATGCATGGTCTTTTGTGGTGCTTGTTCTTCCTTCATGTTGGCCTGCAATCGACATGCCCTTTGTCCAATGTGTATGGTGGGCATGCTCAATGCCAGCTGGCGTGGCAATTGTTGTACTGAGAATGGTTAGCTAGGTCTTCCATGTGTTCATCTACCTCCTTACAATGTATGTCCTCTCTGTCGTCAAGGACAAACTGATCGTTTATCATTTTCTTATCCTTTCCTTTGTTATGAACTTGGTTGCCTGACAAATTTTCTCGCCACTCACACACAGACAGTCTCACACATGCCCATACATGCATAAGAGAAGGGGAGAGAGGAGACAGAGTCCAAACTGCACACAGG